ACTATATAAAATAATATTGATAAAAAAAAATTACAATAATTACAATTACAATACACTTCACATTAATATTATATTTAAGTCCATGGATTTTTGTCATTTAAATAGTAATTTATTTTGTAATATGCTAGATTCCTTTTTATTATATATCTTATTATATTTTCTTTCATTTAAATGTAAAACATTATCTGGAAGTTTATTATAAAAACCTATACAGTACCCCATGAAAGATGTACTGACTTTTCTAACACGATAACAAGGAACATTTAATTTGTTTTTCAGCACCCACGAGAAAGGAGAGAAATATTAAGTATAATAGAAAGAAAGAAAGAAAGAAAGAAAGAAAGAAAAAACTTTATTTTACAAGAAATATGCGACGGCACCCACACAGGGGTTAAAAAAAATCCATATATTAAGAATTATAATAAAGAAACAGCACAAAAAAATATTTATAAAAAAAAAATATATAAAATTAAAAAAGAAAAATAAAACGATTCGTATTATAACAATTTCATCAAAAATGAGTGTGTGTGTACGTGCGTCGCAATACCTGCAAAATGAGGCGCGTGCTCAGCATTATGCTGTAGTGTCAGGGACACTACAGCGCTGATTTTCAGCACGCGCCTCGCCAACCCGCGGGGTCCTAATAATAACAATAATGTTTGAAAACTTGACCAACACAGTGGTGTGCTTAAAGTGTCTTGTGTAAAAAATAAAAATAAAATAAATATAATAAATTTGTAGTGGGTATATATTGAATGATAAATTGTGACGTTGTCAATGTTGAATAATAATAATCACACGAAAAACATAAAATACGTATAGAATAAGTATTTTCCTTTTACGTAGTAATACTACAGACGCTAAAGAAACTAAATATCGAATATAGTTGAATCATCCCCACATTCAATCGAGGACCACAAAAACTAGGTAAGTACTTACCTCCTTGAGTTGCAATATGCTCCTCTTGCAATATGCAATATGTCAATAATGTAATCAATAGCAACCAGTAATTAGATAATAATAAAAAATATATTATTGATTGTGTATTATATTAAAGTGAAATAACTGTTCATATATGTATCATAGAACTCCTAGCTGCACCTAATAGGATATATAATAGGATAATAGTATATATATATATATATATATATATATATATATATATATATATATATATATATATATATATATATATATATATATATATATATGGTATATATTATATATAGTGGTATAAATGATAACTCTGTCCCCGCTGTCGGTACACATTGGCGGAACACCAATAAGGAATGACAAGTGAGAATGAAAACAGGTAGCCCATCGAATTCAACAAGAATTTTCCATGATGTTTTTTAGGAGGAACCGTGGGGAGATATATACTATACTGCCTATATAACATATAAGGCGAACGAACATGCGGCTGACTTGGTGATAATTGACTATGGTCGCTCATGAGCGCTTGCAAAATCATAGGCAATGCAGACGTGCTACCGGCTTTATAAAAAGGAATACGCTCGTTCTTGAAGGTCACGATAATATATTTTAATAATTATATTTATCTTATTCTTATCTTACCCTTATCTTACGCTTATCTTACTCTCAACTTACTAGTAGTATAATAAAATTGTAACTCGACGATGTTTGTACATGAGAGATAGGTACCTATTTAAAAAAAGTAATAATATAAAAGAGAAAAACTTATTTTAATTATTTAATTTATTTTACTATTAAGGGAAAGATGCTAATACCAATAGATGGCAAAACAGTAATATTCAACCGTCTTAAAAAAAGGAGGTTGTCAATTCGATTATATTTTTATATGTTTGTTACCTCATAATTTCGCCAATTATGAACTAATTTGGAAAATTGTTTTTTATCTAAAAGAATGTACTTATAGATTGGGCCCATAGAGATTTTACTAAAATCGCTTCTGTAGATTAATTTTTAAATCAAAATAATTGTATTTGCAACAATTGAAGTCAGTTTTTCTTTTTGGAACACAATTTTAAATTATTACAAAATATTTGCCTCTCTGTATATAATATAAAAAAATAACCGTTATTATCAATTTTTTCAAAAAGTATTCCCCCCAAATATAATACACTTATGCCAGCGTTTTTTCCAATTCTCGAAACACTTCTGAAACGCGCTTTTTGGTATCGCCAAACAGCTCCTGTTTCGATTTTTCTTTTATCTGCTCAATCGTAGCAAAACGCTTTCCTTTCATCGGTGTCTTCAGTTTTGGGAAGAGGAAAAAGTCAGCGGGGGCCAAGTCCGGTGAATATGGTGGTTCTCGAACGGCTTGTATTTTTTTTTATACAACTTAGAATGGCAAACAAGCTGACGGCCCACCTGTTGGAAAGTGGTAACCGTCGCCTATAGACATGAGCAGTACCATGGACATAACAGAGTATACTGTTTCGCCCATCATACCCCCCATGCGTTGCCATTCCTGAGGACTCAGGTGTTATTCCTCTGTACCCAGTAAATTCACGCCATATCCCACCCTTCAAACCGAAACACAGCTATGCAAACACAACTGCTTCACGATTGAACCACGAATGAGACAGAAGTACCCAAGCAATCGACTTTTGTACAAAGTCTCCCTCTGGTAATGTTATGTTAACGTATGTTACGGCATCATGCAAAAACTACTGTTGTATAAATGGATTAAAGTCAATCCATTTATACAAGTTTACTGCTTAGGAGTACTTCTAATTTGGCCTCTTTTTAGCATATTACCTATTTGGCCTACATATCAATTTCTGTAAGTATTAACTACTTTGTCAGTGGTTTTTTTTTAATAGAGGAGAATCGAATGGTAACTCCGCCTGCTTGATCGCTACGCTGACAGGGCATTAGTGAAGGATGATAGATGAGTATAAAAGTAGAGGGTCTACCATGAAATGTTTTCCGAAATTTCGAAACCGAACGAACACAAATTTGATGTTAAAATTACATAATACTTACCGTTTAAAAACATTAAAAATATTAAAATATTATTCCTTTATACTTTTATGGTAGGATTTGTGACGAAGGAAATGTTAAGCTCCATTTGTTGGGCCATATTAGGTATGAACGAAAACACGAAATTGAGTCCGAATTGTGAACTTCGGAATTTCATTTCATGGTAGGCCCCCAGGTCAGTTGATTCTAGTGACGAATTTAACAATCATTAACGACAATGTTTTCAGGGTTGACCGCGTGTAGGTTGACCTGCTATAGTTTACCAAATGATTGCGTTTATTCATAAAGTTTTCTCACAAAATCTTATAAATCATAAACCATGCTATTCGATAGTCTAAAAGTCAATAAATCTTTTTCGTAATTCTTCTTTCAACCATCTCTTTGAATAATTAACCCAACTTCCTTATTTCATGTCATTGCATTAACTTTCAGTCATACCTCTATCATCTTTTTGTATAAAACCTTATAAACCTGGAAGGGGGAAGAGATTGTTAGTAATGCGGACTGCCAGTCCCATCCTAGCAATATACTCAACCATGTCGACCTCCACGTGGTCCCTCTGGAAACTACCGTGCTTAATTCCAGGTGAATTCATTACGATGGGCTAATTGGCCTGCCTTTTTATTCTCACCTATCATACCTCATTGGTGCCTCGCCAGTGTATACCATTAGGACAGGCGGGGTTACCATTCCATTATCATTAATTATAAAATAACCCTACAATACCCGTACAAAACAAAGCTAAGAATATCTTCTATTCTGTTCCGAGTTCAGTAAATATCCTGAGTCACTATCATCATCATCATGATTTCAGCCATTATCCGTCCACTGCTGGACATAAGCCTCCGTTTACGAGCCACCTACATCCTCTGACTCCCTGGAATGAATTTCAGGTCGTCCTACACTGCGTTTGACCGTACGCGGTCGCCACTGAGTGACTATAGTAGACGTAGAAATGTTTGTATGTGTGTATATAATAAATAGACAAAATGTTGAATACTTTTTATTTCCTTCATCTTAAATTAACATTATTTGTACTGTTATTATATCAATGTTATACAAAACTTAGTATAATTAACTTAAACCACTGAAATAACTGATAGATTACTTATATAAATAAACTTTTTTTAAAACCAAATATTATTTTTGTTTCTCATTTATATTAACTGTTATATTTTATTTGTTCATCCGTACCCTTACATACTTACATATCTGTCACGTCCGTCTCCCATTAGGGTAGGGAGAAACAATGGAACGCCAAATGCTTCGATTCAAATAAACCTCTTTCGTTTCCTCCATTATAAATGTTAAAATGAGTTTGTTTTTGTTACCAAACACTATGAAATTTGGTATACACGTATAATATGAAACGAAGAAGGTACGAATACGAACGTATAAGAAGAAGTCACTCGACCACCAAGTGGGTTATGAGCTTGATTATTCGGTCAGTACTCGAATCAGACTAACTTAGCACATCATTCATTCGACGCAACTTATACAATATTTTTTTTTTAAATAATACCACCTTTTTTCGCCATCCGAAACCGTGGTCCCTACTTGGGTAACCTGTTTTTATTATAACTAGTACTTCAATAATCAACAAAAAATAATGTTACATTGCGAAATTCCAAAAAAAAAAAATCTATTTAAGTAACAAAGAATTGGAAAAAGGTTGGGAAAAGGAGATGGAGGGAAAGTTGGTACCTTAATTATTAATGCTACAGTAAATTAGATTTAAAGAAAATATAACTTACTATTTTAAAGTAAAGACATATTATTTTAATCTTAAATAAAAAAATCAATTTAATATATAATCAATCATTGCATGCCATTTGACTGTATAAATAATAAAATATCTTCAAACTATAATCCCTGAAAGAGTAGTCAGAAGCATTAGATAGTACTTAATTATAACCATTGGGATATTGTTGTATACATTTGACACCAATTTATATATATATATATATATATATATATATATATATATATATATATATATATATATATATATATATATATATATATATATGGTAATCGTAATTTGGTGTCGTTAGAAACTTAGTAGAATTTTTGAAAATTTGAATTAAATCTATTTATTTACAAAGCGTATGCAGTTTAAAAATAATAACAGTTGCTAGGTAGTAACACCACAACACACTGACAATTTCACAATATTTTACGCGTCCCATTTCACAAACAATTCAATACTTATTAGTTGAAGTTTCTTGTTACATGTTTATTTTGTCATTACGCAATTTGTTTTTACAAAGATATATGTTGAATTAAAAATTATATAACACTAAAACTTAATATTGTGTTGGTCCGATTAGTACAAGTATAGTCGAATATCAATAATAGTAAACAGAGAACGAATTGTAAGCAATTATTTAACTAATGAAAAACATCTTCTCGGATACTTAACAGTTATAATTATATTAAAAATTAAATAATGAAAATAGCCATGTGGTCCCGGCATAGAATAGGCCACCCCCCTTCCTTTCCCGTGGGTGTCGTAAGAGGCGACTAAGAGAACTTAGAGTGGAGAGATGGGCAGCAGTGTCCCTCTTAAAACATCTCCCAAAGCCTAACTGCGGTTGCCTACTTGCCTGCCAAGCGTGGCGTCTACTGGCAAAACTCCCCTTATGAGGAAGGCTTATGTTCAGCAGTGGACAGTTAAAGGCTGAAATGATGATGATGAATTTTCAAAGTTAATAAAAGCCTTACTTCCTAAGACTCTTGAGGATTCAGGTGTTATTGTTCTGTACTCTGTAAATTCACTGCCATATCCCATCCTTCAAACCGAAACACAGCCAAGCACAACTATTAAAAATATGTATATTTTGGTATTTTTACGTTTAGTGTCCGTGAAAATTTTGCCTCAAAGTAAGAACTTGGAAACAAAACTAAGAAATTTAGTTAGTGACATACCTATTACTAAATAAGAACAAATAACTATTGTGACTTATTATCCTCTATATTAGTATCCTTGAAAAAATTACAAATTATGAATTGGGATTCTAAAAATTTATACACTAAGATAAGAAAAATTAGTTATAAGTAATAACTAATATAAAAATAATGACAAAGTTTTAGTTAGTTTTAACAGCCATAATTACTAGTATGAATTAATAACAGTTTAATTAAAATCACACAAAAGAGATTTTTTTAATCTAAAAATTAAAAGAAACTAAACTGATTTTAATCGAGGAGGGAATAATGTAAATTATTATTGTACTACTAAATACAAACTACAAGATAATTGAACTATTTAATATTACTAAGAGAGAAAGTTCTAGTCAAGCAATTAATTCATTAAAGAAGAAATTAATGTTTTTCCAATTTTCATTGCAAATTAAAATCTACTTTGAAATTTTAAGCTTTTTTCTATATAGTTAATAGCAAAGGCATTCATGTAGTTAATCTTACAAACTAAATTACAATTAATTGTGCGATTGGCAATTATTATAAATATTTATATATATTTTTTCCCGGTAAAGCGTTTATTCTCACTTTTAAGGTTTAAATTGTTTCAACAGCGTAAAATTCATTTGCGATTATAAACTACGATATGCCAACGTTTTAGAATTTGTCCTGTAACTTGATCATTTTTGGAATTCAAATAACAACGAGACATGGGCAAGAGCTCTTTCGAATTTTATCTAATTTCATTGATTTTTATTACTCATTATCCAACCCAGTTATTAGCAGTGAATTTGGATTACATGTCAAAATAAATTAACATATCAATCAAGTTTAATAATTAAAGCAATGCTATATTACTCTAGTAATTTAATAATCTTAAAAACAATGCCAAATAAGCTAAATAAATCTATGATCAGCTTATAAATAGGGCTTTATATGTTTTAGATATATAATAAAATATAAATTATTTCTGACGTCCGTAATGAAAATAATATAAACCTAACGGATCAAATTAAATTAGACTTAAATTTAAAAATATTTACCAAATTAATAATTTAGATACCATTTTTTCCAATACAATTATAACTTCAGAGATCAATTGAAGGAAATATTTAATTGTAATCTACGAATATTAGGATTTCAAATTTAACGTGTATTCGTAATTCAATGCTACTATACAATATTTTCAATGTAATGGCAAAAACTAACCGAACTTTACCCGCTAGTTCATGAAAACTAATGCTTTCTACAAACTTATTTTAACTACCACATTGCTTGCCATTTTCGTTCAAACTAAAAATTTTGCACAAAAGGAAGAAAATATTTTAATAGCTAAAATAAATTTATGTTTATAAGGTTTAATATTTTTATGAATAAGGGGTTAATCTTTAGAGACAGCAATTCTACTTAACGCGCCATTTTTCTGATAATAATTCACTATCTTAGATTCCTGTTAAGAACCAAAGAACCAGTCAATCTTACCTAATCATAATTTTATACACTTATAATTTTAATGTATTCCTCCACGAATATAATTCATTACTGGACCCAAATGGAAAGAGCTCTTACTTGGAAATTATACTTGTAACTAAGTACAAACCTACGAGCACTTAAAATTACCCCTCCTTTCCTATGTCTTATATCTATTTTAAAACCGGCTTCATCAGTTCATCACAATCATCAGTCTCAATTGAACCATCCTAACCATAGTCTCTGAAAGCGAATCATTTAGCTATTATACTGTCGAAATCATACTCTGGACCGAAAGCAGCTTTAGCTGTGCGTCTTGTCATAAAAACTTTTCCGTCTTTCGTATAGTCACCACATCCTTTATTAACTTCATAGGGAATTTCTTCTAATTCTCCACTACTCTTGCAATCACGTTTGCTTACTCCGTTTTCCTCTAATTTATCTGGTGTTATTCCATTAGGCTTACAGATACCACTTGAGAATCCATTTCGAGTAGTTTGATCACTTTCAATTTTCTTCTCAGAGCCTTTTCTATTTTTGTAACTTTTAGCGTAGAAATTCAAGAAGAGTACAAGAAAGATTGTCACGTTAGCTGATATAAAGTAAGTAAATGGAGCAGCGTATTGGCATCGCGGTGAGAAATGTGTCCAGACGCAGTACAGGAGCATCAAAATGAATTGCGTCTAGAAAGACAAACGTTATATTAAATTTAAGATAAGGCAACAATCTCTTAGTAATTTTTAAAAATATGAATAAAAATTTGAGAAACATCATTATTTCTATGTATTTAAATAAATAGATATTGTAAAATTGATGTATGAATATAATTTGAAAATATAAGAATTGTTAAGTGACAAAATTTGAATTATTGAAGGATTGCACGCTTTAATTTTATATGCCTAGAAGAATGACTACTAGGTGTAGAAAACACTTGTTGTTAAATATTAGAATTGAAGATATAAAATTAAACGCTATTATCGTATTACCGATTTCAATTATATTTCAATTGACAGTTTTTCTTCAATTATTAGCAAATATATTCGCATTTAAATTTTTGCTATGGTACTTATTTTTATATGGTACTCCTTATTTATTTCTATTAAAATTTTGATTTAAATTTTTGGAAATTAAAGTTTCCATCGCAAATATTTCTGATAGGTACTGTTAGTAGAAAACTAAATTATTTATGGAATCTTTATGTAAAATTTTATATTTTTCGATCTAGTTGTTTAAAAAAAAAACTGATCTGTGGAAGCTTATCCAGTTTGCTTACATTTAAACGTTATTTCAATCAATAACTCACCAGTTGTAATTTAGTCACGTACTTCTTCCACCAAAGATACTTTTGGAATCTTGGTCCGAGACCAGATAGCAAATAATAAGTATACATGACCACATGCACTATAGAATTTAAGAGGGCCAATATTGCACCGTCGCCTGCTGCTGCAAATTTCAAATAACTCCAAGAATATAACGCCATTATCACGTGATGATAGACGTGGAGAAATGTTATCTGAAACAGATTGGATAGTTATTAAATTATATATATTTAAATAATTAAGGGGTCTATAATAAGGGCTTGTTGGAATTATAATTAAAGTTGATTGTAAATAGTTTATACCAATTAATGATCCATAAATCTTATAAATTAATATTAATAAGTATAACGCTATTAAGAGTTCCAATAATATTAGAATGTTGGAAAAAGTATACTATATGTTAACAAGGATTGTGTAAAATTAAAATATTTCGTTCTTAAATACCTAGATGCTAAGTTTATTAGATTTATTAAGTAAACATTACATCAAAATAATACTAAGAGAAACATTACAGGCCAGTCAAACTTATAGAGCAATCTTAAAGTTACCTGTTTTTCTTTTTTTCGTAGTACAAAAAATACTGTATCCAACAATTCAGTGAATTTTGCGAAGAAATACCACCAGCCTAGATCCATTAACTGTAATGTATAACAAAAAACAATATTAAGAATTATCGTATAGTTAAACTGATTAGTTATCAAATTAGAGAAATTGGACAACAAAGTTAATGGGATCAGAAGTTTAAAGTTTCACACACTGATTTTTCTAGTTTGATAAACAAGAGAAATCGGACAAGAAAATTCTTAAACCTCGAGATATTAACCGAGAAATTCCACAACCAAATGAAATCCTCAAAAAAATTAAATTTTTTTTAAGGAATTCATAAAAGAAAATTTATAAAAAAAATTGTTTAAAATTACTTAAAAGAAGAAAAGGTGGACAAACTATTAGCTTTATAACTTAGGTCATAGAAAATTGAAATGCCGGCGATATAAAACTCACAGCGTGTCCAATAAAATAACAAGTTTAGAATATTAAAGGAAATGGCATGTTTCTACAACAGGGCTAGCATATTTGCGAAATCACGAACACGGTGCCTTTTCAACCATAAAAAACTAGATATCTTGCTTTTAAAGCACAAGTCTCTGACAATATCTATACTAATATAGACAACAGAGTTCGTTTGTTTTAACGCCATAATTTTCGGCAAAAGAGTAGAATTAGAAAGGTTAGTTTTCTATTTGATAGCTCATTTATTGGGGAGAATTATATAATTAGGCTCACACTATTTGACATATTAATTAAAAAATCTATGAATTTATCTGAAGTATATATGCTACTTCGTTTGTCATGGGCGTTGTAAGGGAACATAATACTCCTAAAAGATCAACTAAAAACCAATTGCGGTTGCCAACCCGTCTGCTTAGCATGGTAACTCTTGACAAAATCTTCATTTATGATGGAAGTCTATGTTCAGGTGTGGACAGTTAACAGCTAATACGATACCAAAGTGACAATGGTCTAGTTACATAGCTCGAAGAATCGACAAACAATGGGGAAGAAAGTTTCTTAAGTGGCGACTCCGTACAGGCAAATACAGAGTAGGATAATCCCCCCACTAGAGGGGGGAAAGGGATTGTTAGTAATGGAGACTGAGAATTCCATTGCTAGCAATATACACAACCAAGTCGACCTCCTCGCGGTTCTCCCTGGAAACTATCATGGTTAATTTCTGATGAATTCATCATAATGGACTAACTGGCCTTTTTTCATTCTCATCTATCACCCTTCACTGGTGTTTCGCCAGCGTATACCGTTGGCGCAGGCGGGGTTACCATATCATTTTCACCCATAAAAAAAAATCCCCCCACTAGATGGAATGGTGACCACAAATGCATTGCAGCGAGTAAGTGGAGTTCTCGAATAATATTATTGTGTTACTTTTCAAATACTTGCCAGATTTTTAGGTGAAAAAATAAATTCACTGTACATCATAAATGATACAATAATAACTTTTTGTTTGATAGATTAAAGGTAAAATGGCAATTGGATAAGATCAAACTCGAAATTTGAATTATATCGAACTACTATAAATTGTTAATGGATACTTTAAACTTAATACTTACGGATGAGTTTTGATTGAAATGAGGATACCGGCATCCCGCATAAAGTATTCCGTCTTTGAATAGCTCCAGTTTAAATGCCTGAAAAGTAAACAGTTTTATTTAAGACGAGGTGGTGACACTTTGACCATATATAACTTAAAGTTCTGGAGTGATATTTCTTTATACCACTGAAGTGACTAACAAGCATACGGCCCGCCTTATGGTAAGCTGTTACCGTAAGCTATGAACGTCTCCATTACCAGCTAAATTACACGCGCGTTTATTAACCCTCTATCCCTTTTTTAAGAACCCCAAACTGCAATCTATTGGAAAAAAACCTCGATAGCTGAGCTCCCCTCATTCCATAACCTAAGCGAGTGGAGGAAAAAGTTTCTGAAACTTCTTGAGTGATATTTTTTATAAGCAATCGCAGCTTTTATTTAATGGATGAAGATGGAATGGTGCACCCTCTATGCTAACGGTGTACCAGTTGAGTAACGCGGCACCAGTGGAGGGTGAGATGTTGAGGATAAAGGCAGGTCAAAGGTGGAATGGCAACGCATTAGGGTATCATGGGCGACACTGTATACTCTATTATGTTCATGGTACTGTTCATGTTTATAGGCTACGGTTACCACTTTCCATCAGGTTGACAATCAACTTGTTTGCGATTCTAAGTTTCATAAAAAAAGTAAATATATTTAGTTTTACTCACTTTAGTACAAATTGCACTTGCTAAAAGTACTTGTGCTGCGTTGTAATATGCAATCAGCTTGTTCATTATTAAAGGCGGCCGGTTCTTCATGATCTTGGGTCCAACACGTATCACTATCAAGTATACGATCACCACTAACATTATGGGCACTGGACCGGACATCATGAACCAGGAATCCACTAAAGCGCCTGAAAGTTTTATATAGCAATGTTGTCAAAATAGTATATTGCCGAAATAAAAGTATAGGCGTTATATATTATAAAGAAATCTTTTTGTCTGAAGCTCTAGTCTTATAAAACTGATAGAGTATAAAAATACGAATACACATTTTTTTTTTTAAATTAGCATTCAGTATTATTAGTGCTCTTAGTTGCTGCATATGTTTTTAACTTTAATAAGCATAGATCCTGATGTATTATATAATTTTTAGGAGGTATTGTTATTTTATTATATTTTCGATATTTTATTAGGGGAACAGACAATTCTCAGAATTGAATAGATTATTAAATTATATTCTTCTTAACTAATATTCTCTAATATTATAAAGAAAGATTTTATTGCTTTTTTGGGTAAACTCAAAAAATACATAAAGAAAGCTATATTATCAACGAATAACTTGAGTTGATTTTATTAATAAAAAAAACCGTGTAGAGCCAGGGCAGTATGTTAACATTAAATATTTTTACACTTATATTAAAATAAGACAGCAATCAACAATTATCAGTAATCGAAACACGAATATTATAAAAACATTACCAATATAACTTTTAATACAACATTAAGATTACTATTAGATATAAATTACGTACTTTTACCAACTTTTAAGGAATCCAAATATTTGTCCATTTTTTCCAAATAACTCATGTCTGGATGTGGTTCTGGAAATGAGAAAAATGTTATTATTACATTAAGTATTCTTGCAACAAGATAAAAAGCTGAAATTAAGAAATAGAGATATTTCAAACAACATATGATGGAAATAATCTGCCATTTTAATTTTTCAACTTTTTAATATTGTTCGGCCAGTATTTTTTTCTTAATGTTTATCATTTATTCCATAGATAAATAATAATAACCAACGGATTTACAATACGTCGTCGTCGAAAGAGATTTATTAATATTAAATACTATCTATCCATTTCGTAGGTGTTTATTATTTTTTTATTTTCTTTCTTTTCATTATTTAATAGGCAAAGGGAACAAAGCCTATACAGCTTAGTCTGACGTAGGTAATAATTTTATTTATGGATTTCATAGCTAGATATTAAATTCAGCTGCTTGACTGTGTTCTTAACGAAAATATAAACAGAAAAAAAAATTTTGTTTATATTTTCGTCAAGACCAAAATGTTTATAATTTTTTAGTAAGTCTATAATGCATAAAATACGAGAATGAAACCTAATTGTATGCAAACTTCTTTTATCTTTGGTTCTAAGAATTAAAAAAAAATATTTTAAAATATAGTAACTACTGGCAAACCCTCTTAATAGGGGGAAGCCTATATTTAACTGTGAATAGTTAATGGTTAATATAATGATGCTATAAATATACAACATAATCATTTTACAAAAAGGATATTTTTATTTAATTTTATTTTATTTATTTATTTATTCTAATTCGATACATATAGCACGATTCAAGTATACACATCGATCTTACACAATGTGATGGCTTAACAACTAGAACATACTAAATCTTAAGATCAGACCAGAAAAATAAAAAAAGTACACTAGTTATTCTGTGAAACAAATAAGTGACAATAGCCACCTAGCAAAGTTAGTTTTTTACATCAAAATAGACAGTACGAAATGAAATGAAATGTATCTACTTTGTAACACCAACGCCAAGTTTTTTTTTACAATTTTTTTTTATGCAACTTAGAATGGCAAACAAGCTGACGGCCCACCTGATGGAAAGTGGTAACCGTCGCCTATAGACATGAACAGTACCATGGACATAACAGAGTAGGTATACTGTTTCGCCCATGATACCCCCCATGCGTTGCCATTCCTGAGGATTCAGATGTTATTCCTCTGTACCCTGTAAATTCACGCCATAACCCACCCTTCAAACCGAAACACAGCCATGCAATCACAACTGCTTCACGGTAGAAACACGAATGGGACAGAGGTACCCAAGCAATCGACTTTTGTACAAAGTAATATAATATAAGTAATACCAACAATTGAAACATATTATTAACAAATCGTATTACGTTATATTAAACTATATTGCATGAGCATAAGTTTCAATATTGAATTCCAGTAATGAATCCGACAATAAGAATTTTCAATAGAGTGACAGGAGATACTTAAGTCTGAGCCTTGTTAAGGCTATAGAAACATTTTTAAAATATATGACATTATAACAATGAATATAAGAAGCGGCATACAATTTAAATTGAAAAGCAAGTAGGTACATAGGTAGTAACAAATGGAAAAAAAGTATGTAGAGCACTCACAAGTAAGTGCTTACTCCTTTGTAAGAAAGAATATTAGATCAAAGCCTTTTGTTTAAAATCTAATTAGTCACAACAAGTAGGCAGTAATAAATGGCTGTATAGTATATATCATTTATAAGAAGTGCTTTTATATAGTTACTTTTATTATGACATACGGACTATATTATTCTAATACAGTGAACGGACGGAGGGAAAGATTTTTTTTTATGTATATAAAAAAAATATATTTACGTATGTATACTTCTGTCGCTATGTTTTAATGCGACAATCTTCATATCTTTTTCATATTGACTTTCTTATACATTTACTGTTTTTTTTTTTTCTGAGTTAAATATAATAATAGTTTATAATATATATGTCAAGGGGGGAAAGGAATTGTTACTAATGGGGCTAACTGCCCCATTGCTAGCAATACAATCAGGTCGACCTCCACGTGGTTCTCCCTGGAAACCATCATGATTGATTCTAGTGCAATTTGTCACGATGGGCTAACTGACCTAGTAAATTCACGCCATATCCCATCCTTTTTGTGGTCTTCTTTATAATGATAGTGGATCGTCGTTGATGCTCTTCTTCGCGATTCAGATCCTTGCAATGTGTCTCCATCCACTTCTTTTCACAGCCAAGCGAGAGCACTCCACAATAAACTAACTTAGGATACAGTGTATGTTTTATCTTAACAGGTCATCTAAGAAGTCCACGCGTACGAAGTCGCGGGCAAGAGCGAGTGTTAGATAAATATGTATGATGATTTATGTCCAACATTTTATAGTGTGAAGAAAGTTTTAGTTGATTCGCAATGTCAGCTCTCCATTTGCGACCTACTGTTGATACTCGGTCAATATGTTTATTGTGAAATGATGGTTTAATGGCGTATGGATGGATCGAGAATAGGCAGTGGAAAGTCATTTTAGATTTGCATTAACTACCTGTCAATTTCTAGGTTTACTTCTAGCTATTGGGTTAAAAGTTAACCTAGAAATAAATAGAGACATTTTAAGCACGCTATCGGAATTTAACCGCCTAAAAATTTTCTTCGAAACGTCTATACTCGTAATAAAGAAGCAGCAAACTATTTATAATTACTCCTCTCCATCCAAAGGTTGCCTGGAAGAGATCGCTTCTAGCTATAAGGTCGCCCATTGTTTTCTCAATAGTCAATAGTCATTTTTTCCATTACCGCTCATTCGGAACGCAATTTCATAAGAAAAAGAAGCAGGTTCTCACTTCGGTCGTATTTTATTATGTTTATTATCTACCTCAATTAGATTTTTTTTTTATCTGAAAGGATAAATTTGCAGATTGGTCGCAATATAATAATGCCTTCAGGGCACTGTTAGGGCTACCTAGTCACTGTAGTGCGTCACACATGTTTGCACGAGTTCGTACGGATGATTTTTACGCAATACGGCGCAAACCAATTGTTTCGCTGTTGGGTAGGGTGCGTGTTAGCTCAAACAGTGTCCTGAAGACAACTGCTGATAAAATAAACTGTCCTATCCTAAAATATTGGGTGGGACAGGTTGTCAATGCAAGATATACTATGCAACTAACATAGGTTAAGTCAATTTATAACTAATAAAATGGGGGGCCTTATGTGGTATAGAAATTTTATCTCAGTTGGTTAAATAGTTCTATTTTTTAAATCAAAATAAGTATTTCTGTCACAAGTGAAGTCTTTTTTTTTTTTTGCAGAATAAAATCCTAAATTTTTAAACAATTAAATTCGATAGAAAGATATACTAAGATACTGTGCCTAATATAGGAACACTAGATAATACTTTTTATCGATTATAGATTTGTCATATCTAATTGATAGGTGTATAAATAAAATACATTTCTAATGATAATTTAAATAACATGTTCATATTTATAAACGACGGTTACCACCTTCCGTCAGGTGGGCCATACCATCAGTTTACCATTCATGTTACATAAAAAAATCTGTGTTATTGATTTTTTTTTTATATTAAAAACGATTGATTGATTTTAGGAGTACGCTTAAACTGTAACCCATTTATTCAAGGAGGAGAGGGATTGTTAATAATGAAATTTAATAACTCCATTGCTAGCAATATACCCTATCAGGTCGAGCATCACGCGGTTCCCCCTGGAAACCATAGTGGTTAATTCTTGTTCAATTGATCACTATAGGCCAACTGACCTGCCTTCATCTTCGCTATCCAGACTAACAATATAACAATCACAATATTTTCTAGGGGGAATCGCGTGGAGGTCGACCTGAGAGGGTATATTGCTAGCAATGGTATTGTTAATTCCCATTACTACCAATCCCCTTTCCCCCTACTAGTAATGTATTATATTATCTGTGCTCAAAGCCAAACTGCGGTTGCCAATCAGCCTATCAAGCGTAGCAACTACATACATAGCAATAGGGGGGAAAGGGATTGTTAGTAATGGAGTCTAACTAACCTATTGCTAGCAATACAGCCTATCAGGTCGACCTCCACGCGGTTCCCCCTGGAAACCATCGTGATTAATTCTAATGGAATTCGTCGCGATGGGCTAACTGACCTGCTTTCATCGTCACTTATCATCCCTTACTGGTGCCCCGCCAGCGTATACCCTATCGGTATCGTATAAAATAAATAATAATAAACTTAACAATGGTTACTAAAAAAATAAGAAAAATGTGTAGTATTATATTCATTATGTCTCATCAAAATTTATAACTTTTTAATTATTATAGATGTGTGTATGTATTATATATATATATATATATATATATATATATATATATATATATATATATATATATATATATATATGTGTGTGTGTGTGTGTGTGTGTGTGTGTGTGTGTGTGTGTGTGTGTGTGTGTGTATGTATGTATTTTGCATATATAAAAACAGATCAATTGTTATTACGCAAATGTGAAAACGAATAAATGACGTTATCAACAGTTGCAGTTGCTTTGTCTACCCCTTTAGGGACAACAGTCATGAGCATATTTATTAAAGAACTTGCCTTGATATCTAAAGCCTTTACCCATACAAATCAATACATAAAGAATCCTATGTATTGAGTTAGGATATAACCTATTCGTGTATAAAATTTCATTAAAATTCGTTCACTAGTTTTTGCATAAAAGAATAATGCGACTCACCTGATGGTAAGTGACTACCGCCGCCAATGGTCACCCACAACACAAACGGCATTGCAGGTGTGCTGCCGGCCTTTTAAAAAGGGATATGCTCTTTTCTTGAAGGTTGTGTTGTCGTATCGGTTCGGAAATACTGCTGCTGGAAGTTGATTCCAAAGAGTGGTTGTGCGTGAAAGAAAGTGCCTTGAAAAACGCACGGTGGGGAACCACCACTAGTCCAGATGATTGTTATGAAATTTTAGTTTATAGCGGGTTGTACGATGGTGAAAATCAGCAGCAGGTATCAATCCGAAC